ATTATAACTATTCACTTTGAATAGTGTTATTTTTTCTCATTTTCTCCACTTTTACATCCAAGAATTGAACATTTACGCTTATTGAATGAACAAAATATTTAAATATGTATCATACGATTTAATATACTAGTTRAATATGATATTTTATGATTGAACTACTATATTTTAGTCCGTGGACTAATTATTTTTTATTTATTCATTCATTGACTAATTATTGACATTTATAAATTGGAGGGAAAGTTCATAATTTTTTTAATATTAAATGGTTCATGAATATGAACATAGATAGAGCGCGAGCTATATTCGTACTTTTCCCCCCTGATAATATACGTCTCCTTGTTTGTTCTTTGATACTACCACAGATTATATAATCTGTATTCTGTGCCATCCGTATCAGCCATCAGGACCGAAAGGAAAGTTTCATTAAAAACCTTCTAAAGATCTAAAGAAGTAAAGATCGTTATTTGATTAATGATTTGACATTTTGACCGAATATTTTAAGTACATCATTCGGTCGCGATTCAGTCACTCGACAGATTCGTTCATTTTGATTCTTTCAGTCGCGACCRTCACAACTCAAATGAGCGGTTTAAGTTTGTTAAAAAAAACCATTCCCAGGAATGTGTGCTTATTTAAACAGATTCGACCTCTGCATGTGTCATCAGCACGGACYAAGTCAGTTGCTCCAAGAGAATCACTGAACTCCGAGTATGTACAACCTTAATTTTACTCATGACCGCAACACATTTGATTTGTAAAAAACGTTCTATCTGGAAAGCCCCAATACATCCTAGATGGCTTTGTAGCAAAATCTTTCCCAAAACAACTACCCATTATGTTTGAAATGAGTTGTTAAAAATAATCTTAATATTTAAATCTATCAATTAAACTTAAATGCAGTGCTATAATCTCAAAATGATTAAATGTTCTCCTCTGTTTTGAAGATAAAAATAATATATTACRTTCTCAATACCATTGAGTTAAGTAAAATAACTTATTTAAATCATCAAAAATATACATACAATTGTATATAGGTATATTTTTAAAATGTTTGTAGGTACTGAATAAATTGTTAAATGTATTATTTTATAAATTGCAATACTTCATTATTATTTTAAGTTCTAACAAGCAATTATCATGTGAATAATGTATATTTACTGATTTTTTTTTAGCTATGTATTAGATTTGAACTATGATTTCCATTACCGCGATCAAATACCATTCACTGCAAAAGATAAGAGGAATAATACTATTGCCGATGTTTCAATGGGAGTAGTTTTGGCTTTTGTTTTGTATAAATGTTACTCTGAACCTGAACATTTGCTTGTATGTATATCTAATGTGACATGGTGTTATTTTATAATATATTTTTATACCTGGTTTGTATCTTTTTAGGGAGATTTTCCGTATCCTGATTCCTCAGAATGGACTGATGAAGAATTGGGAGTACCGCCAATTGAATAATTATATGTTATTATTTATTTAGTTAAATGTAGTATATATATAATCCAGAAAAATAATCTATGAAAAGTGAATAATCCACTAATAAATTTACATTGATCGTTAATAATTGTTGTATGTTTTTACATTATTACTTATTGCTATATTCTAATTATACCTTAAAAACGTTCTGTACACATTTAATATAGCACTCAAATTTTAAAAATAAGATAATGTGGTGCAGAATGTTATGCATAAACCAATACAAATTTTAAAAGACTATTAGGTATATTTTATATGTTAATATTATTGGTAAATGATAATAATATATTATATGATACAGGTCAGTAATAATATTTATATTATTTATAAAATGTTCATAATAAACACGCATTTCAAGCATAATCAGTATTCAAATATGTTGTAATGGTTTAAAGGCTTTTTATCATTGTATAAGTATATAAATTGGATTAATAACTTAATTAGTATATTTAACTTAAATGCTATACATTTTAGTTAATAATTCATAACCCGTATTACTGATCATCGAGGAGAACAACTGACCAAGGTTGAGATAGAGATGTTACCCCTATACAGGTGAGCTCAGGTATACATTAGCTTCACCATAAATTCAATATATGGCTATAATATGGCTGAGCCTAGACGGATCTGGGGCATTAAGTTCCTGAATAGTTAGATACAAGGTAATATTGACTCTCCCATTTTACTTTCCTTAATTTGTTTTAGAGTACCTCAACATCATTACCGATCTATTTCTCCTTTTTATGTTCCTTTCACTAATTACCTTAAAAATGAACCTATTACACATATGATGTCAAATGCTAATGTTGACCCTTTGTTTCTTCTATGCMTGTGATTTACTGTCTAGCTCTTAATTTTATTATTATATCATAAATTGTACAATTAATGTGTAGCTATATATGCATAATGTGTTTATATGTTCAAAGGACTTATCCCGTATATTTAATAAAATAAAATAAAATATACACATTACCAGTCATAAATTAACAAATTTAATCAAATAAAAATACATTTAACAATTTATTAGTTAAAATTTATGTTCCACTGTATAATAATATGTTGTAATCTAATTACCTATTTGTCATTAAACATAAAGATTTAATCAAGATCAAAATTAAGACAAATTTACAATGAAATCTAATTAATTTTAATTTTTTATATATATTTTTTTGAGTTTCTCTAAAAAGCATATCATTATTAATTTTGGAGTGTGTAACCAATAGTTTCCTAGTCAGCTTTTAATAGAGGAAAACTATATGAGTTGGCAGTAGGYATCCCCTGTCACTAGGGTCTATGGTTCCAAATAGTAATTTCTTATATATTTGGTTGGTTATTTTCAAATAATATCTCAGTATTACATTATTTAATTATTATTTAAAATATAGGTAATATCAGTACTTCAGTTATAAGCTAATAAACAATACACATATTTTTAAAATATCAAAGGGTTTGTTGGTTTAATTAAACATTAAAAAGACATTTTATTTTATTAATAAAATAAAGGAATATTTAAATTACATACTAATGTATATTGTATACAATATATTTTGTGTTTGCTTGTAATATTGTATGAAATTTATTGTCTAATGGAGACAGTTTTGATTTCCAAGTATTCTTTTAAACCATCTTCTCCTCTATGAACACAACAATGGTTTAATATTTGTCATATAAAAAAAATTAGAATTTAAAATTCTTACAATTCTCTACCAATTCCAGATTGATTAAATCCACCAAATGTGATTTGTGCCGAGAAGACAAGGTAACTGTTAATCCTGCAATTTATTATGAACATTTAAAAACTTCTTTATACATATATAATATATACTAGCTGAATAACTCGGCTTCGCCCGTGTACAGTTTTTTGTGTTACCTACTATTACTTTTATTTTATCAATTTTTATATTTATTACAGGCTGCTTTTAGATATGTTGATCCTAGATTGCCCATGCATTGTATAGAAATTTCTGTAAACTCTTAAAACTAATTAGGTTTTACAATGTCATTRTAACATTAATATATACATTATGGTGTTATCTAAACCAAAAAAATTAACATATTTTTTTCGTCTCAATACCTCTTTATAAACAGTATTTTTGGTACTGCCTTTTGGGGCTAGATAACCAAACTACTGGCAGAGATAACTCTAGAACATGCAACATAGAACTGTCCATGTGAAAAACATTCTTCTCTCAAATCAACCCCTACCATGCTCAATGATTTTCCTTGAGACAGCAAAGCAAACTTTGAGTGGGAATTGTATTCTTATAAACTCAAATGGATCATCAGTTGGAATCAACACTATTCTCGGGATTAAAACTATATCTCCTCTAGCACACCCAGTAATAACTATAGCTTCTATTATATTTTTGTGCAGAGCTTAAACTTGCAATCTAGTTCCATTACACAATTTAGGTGGGTTAAGATTCTTAACAACATTATATGTGCTCCAATTTTAAGGATAAGTTTATGTGATGGAAGACCAGAAGGATTCAGAGTATTAAGAAATTCTAAAGGGTAAAGGACAGCAACATCCGAATAGATCACTGAATCAAAAGATTTATATTCAACAGCTTTTTCATTAAATTCGTTGATTAGAATTTCATTGATTTCGGCTGCCTTATCGTTCTTAGGAGTTAAGATGGCTCACTCGTACAACCCTTCGATGGATTTCATCTTGATATTTATTATATCTGGGTAAATCCTGGAATTCTGGAAATTAGTTCTGATAAAGAGCTAACAACTGTACTCAAATYTGAGGGAATAGTTATCTCAACTTCCAATGATGAGAAATTTCAKTCTCCTATTTTAAGTAACATTTCAGCGAAAATTCCAGCAGATGTGTCACCTTTCAAATGGACCCTCATATTTTTATGAAGTGCAACTTTCTGGATGTGTGGCCACAAAYACGAAGCTTTTAGACATGACTTTACTTGATCAGCCCTTGTACCCCTAGGTATAACGGGTAATGTTTGCTGAAAATCTCCTGCTAACAGCACAGTGAGTCCACCCATCAAACTATATTATATCCTCTTATATCTTTTAATGTTCTATTGAAAGCTTCAAAGCCACTATTGTAAATTTATCCCAAACTATTAACTTATAGTCTTTTAGAACTAGATAGATATATAGATTTAAGATAGATCAGATTTCATATATATAAAGAGACTTGTCCTGGGTGATTCATCAACGCCCAGACCAAACCGATGGGTCTAAAGACTTAAAATCTTGTAYACARGTTTCTTTGCAATGTAGAGRCGCACTAAGAAAGGATTTTTCAAAATTCGCATTTTAAAGAGTTGCTTAAACGGGGATTTTGATATTTATGATGGAAATTTTGTTTATAAATGGTTGCTATAACAACCTGATTTATGTGTTGACACATTTATCACTTTATTATTACAGCTAATTATTATTATTAAATAAAGCGTCTTCGTATACGCACACTTACAWAGTTTATGTACGGTAACTACAATTTTTTCTAAATATTTAAATGTTTTGAAATAACCAGGTGTTTTACTTATTATTTTCGATTATTAATATTATAGCGTAAAGTATATATATATATATATTTATTTTAATAGTTCAATATTATTGAAAGTTGTAAAAATGCCAACACAATAAATATGTAATTGCAGTATAAACCATGTAAAATATTAGTAGACTAAAACCTACTCACCTACTTACATAATATTTATATCAATACATTAACAGATTTTTTTTGTAATAAATGTGAATTATGATTAAAAATGAAACTTCTTTGAAACCCAAAAAGTATACTTTTTCACAAATAATTTTACTACTGTATACACAATTTTAAATAAATATACCAAGTCCAGTTAACTAATTTCAAAATTTGGTGTAGGAAATTTAAAATCAAAGTTCTTAAGCCAATAAATAAATGTTACCAATAAACAAATATATATTCCTATATTACCTATATTACCTGTTAATATTGATTCTTGGTAATGAGAAAATAACATAATGATTTATAACCTAACCTATTATACCAAAGGCGGGTAAGTCGACTAAGTCGTGGATGTCGCTCTGATGTACAGTAGGTTACAAGTGGGTTACTGTAATGGATGGAATTAAATTTGAATCCAATAATATTATATCACTGTATACGAAAAATGATTCTGAGCGAAGACGGTTTATCTGTCTAGAATATATTATAGATTATTAAAAATTTTTAAATCTTAGATTTAAAAAGAAAAGTTTTTATGAATTTCTAGCTTAAAATAATTTGCGAATTTTCGTGATTTTAACGTGTGTTGTCAAAATTTAAATGCTTGTAAAAAAAAATGTGACTATGCATTTCTTTTATTTTTTAACTGCTATTGTAAAAGTATTTTAGGAACCTTGTATTAA